GTGTTCTGGGTGGCTTCACACAAAGTCAAGACTCAGAGGATGCCTGTGGCTCCGAGTCTGGTCCTGGCCGGCTTCTCCTGGGGAGCGAGGGCTGAGCTTTGCCAGAGTCAAATGCCTTTACCACTTCATGCCCAGACTGTGGCCCCTTGCCTCTGTCTGCCCAAAGGGGCCCAGAATCCAGGCCATTTTTTATAGCTCCAGCCAACGCCAGGTCCTCCTTGGGGGCTGGAATAACAAACTCAGGAGCACCCCCCCCAAATTCCTACCCAACTCCAACCCAGAGGGCACTCCACCCACCCCACCCACCATTCCAGAGCTCGGTGTTCCCACAGCCTTGGGAACATGCCTGGAGGTGTGAGCCACTTGGTGACCAAAAGAGTGTTCATGCGCAGAGCTCCCTGCCCCGAGTGAGCACTGGACAGTGAGTCAGGAGACCTAAGTTCTAAACTTGGCACTCCCATCATCAACCAGCTGTGGGACCTGGGGCTAGTCACTTACCTTCCCCAGGCCGTAGCTACCCCTGCATAAAATGAGAAGCCAGGAACAAATATGATCTTTAAGCCCTCTTCCAACTCAGGTATAGGATTGTGGCGTAATGTCAGGTACATACACAGCAGGTGTTCAGGAAATGTTGATTTAGTAATTTAACTCTAAGATTCCGGGCAAGATTCTGCAGGTGCCAACACTATTTCCTCGCTGTGAGTTCGGCCTCTGCTGTTAGCTAATTTAAGTCAAGGGCCAACTCAGGGCCTGGCACTTAATAGGTATTAAACCAGTGCGAGTTGGGTCTATGAATGCAATGATTTACAGTAGCCCAGAGGCTGAAGAAGGAACTGACCGACCAGCAGGAGTGGGTCATGGGATCTCCAGGGGGCCATGCTTCCCTCCTTGTTATCAGCTGCCTCCCCTTCTGGGCATAGTCAAAGTCATTGCTTTGGGGCATAGAACAACGTCCAGCAAGCATCACTAATTCTCGTTGCCTGAACAACGGAGGTCTTGCTCACACTCTTCCCTTTGCCTATAGCTTCTGTCAGGGGCTGCGATTCAGCCCGCTTACAAGCTAATAAGCTAGCCTGCTCTTGTTTCATAAATGCGGACAGAAGATATGGTCTCCTGAGACAGACTTGAAGGATTTACCACTCTTGGCACAGCAGGCTGCACGAGCATCATCATTATGTCTCTTTCCTTCACTCCCTAGTTTGATGGGGGCAACGAAGAGGGGCCCTGGTGGATGTTACCTATGCAAGAGCTTTATGTCACAGCTACGCAGCACTGAGCTTGGGGAACCCACCCGTCCCCTCCTACCACCACCACTCTTACAGTAAGCAACTACCAAGCCTACTGTCTATCTGGCGGGGTGAGTGTTCCTTCACCCCACAAACTTATTGGCTGCAGAACACAGCAGCCAGAAATGGTTGGAAAGTGAATGGGTGACCATGGCTTTGCATTCTCAGCACACTCAGTATTAAGAGCCATGGCTGCTCAGGCCCCATGGGGGACCGCCTTGCCCAACAATGCCTAGTCACCATCTCTGCTTGTCACAACTCTATCCACCCTCCAGAGATGCTCCATTCTGGAAGCTTTCCCAGCCCTTCCATCACACATACTCTCCCTTTTAGATTTCCTTGCATCTACCTTCTTTTCCCTTTTGTGTCCACAGCTGTCGCTGTACTATCGAGAAAGTGCAAACACAGTGAGGGCAGGAGCCGGTGCTCCTTGTTCCTCCGTTCCACACCCGGATGGTTTGCATCCCACAGGTGCTTAGGCCATATTTGTGGATATCTTCTTGCATGCTTATGCTTTTGCAGCGTCTCCTGGGACTGCCCCTTGGAATGTCTTCAGGATTCCAGAGGCTAAAAATATCTCCCCAAACCACCCCATTGGCTTCCTTGTAAGGAGCTGGGCTTAGCTGCGAGGCTGAAGATTTGTGCCCACCAGGCGGCGCACCACCCTTAAGTCTGCAGATGGCCTTTCTTAGATGCCAGAGGACTCTTCTCTCCCTCAAAGTGTTGATTTGGTTAGGTCCCCTGCTCACAGACGTAGTTTATGGAACATAACCCCATCATCAGCCCAGCACCCAGAGTCAGGCACCAGGTGCCTGTCCTAGCTCCAGCCATTTTCATAACCGGCACCCTGAGGACACTGAGGATGTCCCAAGAGGGATTGATTGCTAAGGGAAGCTGAGAGAAAGGCCCCAGAATTGGGATCAGAAGATCTAGGTTTGAGTCTCCACATGGACACTTGCTAGTTCTGTTTCTCCCAGCAAGTTATGTAACCTCTCTGGGCCTCTGTAACTGTAGCCAAGAATAAAATCTGAGAAAGTAACATATAAGCACTTTGTGGTTGTTTTTTAAAAGATTTTATTTATTTATTTGACAGACAGACATCACAAGTAGGCAGAGAGGCAGGCAGAGAGAGGAGGAAGCAGGTTCCCTGTTCCCGGGCGCCCCAACATATAAGCACTTTGAACGTGAACCTGGAGCCAGCCACACGTGGGCTCCTGTTCAAACTGTCACCCACCAGCTCTGTGAGCATGGTCACCTTCCTTCACCCTCTGAGCCCTGGCTTCCCCACTGGCAAATCAGAGTTAACATTGCCTAGAATACAGGGGTGCCTGGCTAGGTCAGTTGGTAGAGCGTGTGATTCTTGACCTGGGGGTGAGTTCACGCCCCACCTTGGGCATAGAGCTTACTTAAAAAACAACGACAAAGGCGCCTCGGTAGCTCAGTGGGTTAAAGCCACTGCCTTCGGCTCAGGTCATGATCCCAGGGTCCTGGGATGGAGCCCCACGTCGGGCTCCCTGCTCAGCGGGGAGCCTGCTTCCTCCTCTCTCTCTGCCTGCCTCTCTGCCTACTTGTGATCTCTGCCTGTCAAATAAATAAATAAAATCTTAAAACAAAAAACAAAAAACAAAAGCAAAAACAAAAAAAAACAACGACAAAAAACAGTGCCTAGAGCATAGAGAGCTTTCAGTGAATAATGATCACGTATGTCTTATGGATCCCTAGACCCTCAAATGGTGCCCAGTGCCTAACAGGTGCTTAAAATCCATTTGCTTAATGAAAGGATTTCACAGATGAGGAAACTGAGGCACAGAGCAGTTAAGTGTGAGGTCCCAGCACAAGGGAGTGGTGAAGCCGTAATGCATAGCCAGCAGTCTGCCTCCACGGCTTGCACCCTTGTCTCAATACCATGCTATTTTACACGGTGATGGAGGTTACACATCACCTTTTACTCATTTAAAATAAGCGTTCACAGCTGTCCCAGGTCCCTGCAGGCGGGGTTGTGCAGCAAGAGGCCTCAGCCCCCTGAGAAACCACATATACTTTCTCCCATAAGGAATGCCAGGGTGCTGGGAGAGGAGAGACCTGCTCAGCCAGGCCAGGGGGCCGATGGACACATTCCATGACCAGGAGATGAGGGACTAGTTCTGCACTCTGCTGACATTTATTGAGTCTCTTATTTCCAGGCAAAGATAGAGGTGACAGCTAGCAGTTGCAAGCAATGTACCAGACTCAGGAGCACTGCATAACTTCTGGATGCTCCAAGAAAGGGCCTAAAGAGCCAGCAATCAACAGCTTGGGAGTCTGGGGCAAAGGGAGGAGCATTTAAACTGGGCCTTGAAGGGTAAGTAGGAGTTTTCCAGCCAAGTGGGGTCTGGGAATGAAGGGCTTTTTGAGCTTATTTGGGGGGATTTAAGAGGTTAGGTGGGGTTGGCAAGCCCCATTGGAGCAGGGGTAAGGAAAGGAAGTGGGAAACAAGGAAAGTGAAAGTCAGTTGGAGCCAGTTTGTGAAATAAGCCCATAGAAGAGATAAAACTGTAGCCTGTGGTCAGTGGAGGAAGCAACGCAGTGCCAGGTCTGTGTTTTAGAGGGATGTCACAGTGAGCGATGGTTGAATGGGATGGGGAGACAAGGGACACCAGCTGCAGTTATGAGGTTAATGGGCTTAACTCCTCTAGACCTCATTTCTCCTCCTCAGTAAAAGGAGGAAAAGAATTCTATCTCTGAGGCTGCTTTGAGGCTTAAGTGGGCTTACATGTAAACGCATCATTAGCTTCCATAGGACGCTGTTCTGCCTAGTGTCCTAGTTAAACACAGGGGGGCTTTGCTCTCTCTTACCCCAGGCTTGGTGCCTTGTCCATGTCAGATAGCACATTTTTAATCTAGGCGACCCTGGATGGCAAGGAGGTTGGAAAAATGAGGATGGACTGATAGGACTTGGCTTTGTGGTGTGTGGGAGGGGAAGGGGGGGGGGTCTCTGGTGGGGGACCGTCCCTTACTCTGATGTCTGAGAGCCCAGCTTTGGACCGGAGAAGAGTGAGGTGGGCACATTCCAGATGTCCAGGGGAGAACGGATGTCAGCTTCAGACCAGTGCCGCTCTCCTCCAGAGCCAGGAAAAGGCCAAGAGGTCCAGGTGGGCCCTAGGGCAGGAGAAAGTAGAAAGAAAGAGGCCCAGCGAGGCGCTGAGAGAACGCTCCAGAAGACAGCTTTTCCCCTCTGAGGCTGGACGGGAGCTGGAGAGGCAGGGCAGGCAGGGCAGGCAGGGTGGCCCCAGATGTGCCAAAACTTGGCCGGGGCGGCCAGAGCGGAAGGCCCTCGGCGGCCCGGAGGTGCGAGTGCCCTCCGCCGCGCCCCAGGGAGAAAGGAATCCGAGCTGGGAGTCTGGCGCCGGCTGGAAAGGGGGGCCCGGGATGGTGAGCGAGGCCCAAAAAGAGATGGCAGGAAGCCGGGAGGAGCGATTGGGGGTGGAGACGGGGAGGGGAAGCCAAAGGGCGGGTAGCAGTGGTGGAGACGGGGAGAAAGAGAGGAGGGCTGGAGGGAGGAGAGAGTGGAGGAAGGGTGGGGAGAAGGGGAGAGGAAGCGCGAAGAGGACTCGGAGGGACGCGAGGAGGCCGCCGCGGGCGCAGCGGGAACGTCGGCCGGGCCACCCCCGCGAGCCCGGCGCCGCCATTCCGCTACTCGGGGCTCCGCCGCCGCCGCCACCGCGCCCGGGGGCCATGCTCCCGCCGCCCCCGCGCCAGCCGCCGCCCCAGGCGCGCGCGGTCCGCGGGCCGGTGCGCCTGCAGAGGGCCTTCCTGCGCGGCCCGCTGGGCGTGCTGCGGCTGCTGCAGCTGCTGGCCGGCGCCGCCTTCTGGATCACCATCGCCACGAGCAGGTACCAGGGCCCCGTGCACTTCGCGCTCTTCGTGTCGGTGCTCTTCTGGCTGCTGACCCTGGGCCTCTACTTCCTCACGCTGCTGGGCAAGCACGAGCTGGTGCCCGTGCTGGGTTCGCGCTGGCTCGTGGTCAACGTGGCACACGACCTGCTGGCGGCCGCGCTCTACGGAGCCGCGACGGGCATCATGATTGCCCAGACGCAGAGCCACAGCTACTGCAACCTCAAGGATTACCAGATGGCCTGCGCCTACCACGCCTTCTTGGCGGCCGCCGTCTGCGGTGGCCTCTGCCTCGGCCTCTACCTACTCTCGGCCCTCTACGGCTGCTGCCGCCGCTACCAAGGGGAGCAGGAGGTGGCGTGAGCCGCCGCGCCGCGGGGCGGGGACCCTCCCGAGACCGGCGTCCCCGTACTTCCTGCCGCCGCCGCCCCGCGCCCGTGCGCCCCGGCACCCACCCGTCGCCCCGCGCTCCCGCCCGCGCTCGGGCGCCCTGGCCCGCCGTTCCCGTGCGACTGCAGAGCCGCCGCCTGGAGTCCGGCCAGACGCGCCGCCTGCGCCGTTTCCTGGGATCCCGGCAGGGCCGCATCCGAGCAGCGGGCCCCCACGCATCCTGGCCGTCCGAGGCGAAACCTCGCGCTTCCTCGCCCCCTTCCGTGCCGAGAGCGAGACGTGGACAGGCGCCGCGTAGATCCGGGGGAGGCTCCCAATTGGAACCAGCTTTCTGGCTGCGCCACTGCCCCCTCCCTCCCGGCCCGCTGTCGGAAGAGCACCCCCGTTCCCTGGCCCCTCTTCCAGCTTCGAGTGCTGTGAAGGGCAGGCTCGCAGCCGCGGACAGAGCCGAGGACAGGCCTCCACTTGTCTCAGGATGAGCGAGGAGTTTTCGTTTCAGCTCGGGATTGTGCGCGCATCCTGCGCGGTCCGTGCTCTGACATTGGGGTGGGGCGCGTCTGCAAAGGTGAGGATGGATCGGAAAGGCCCTCGGGCTGCACCTTTGCACATTTGGAGTCTGCTCTCGCCTTTGCCTGTTCCGCCTTTGGCCTCGGGGTTCTTGGAGGCCAGGCCCAAACGCACACTAGTTTCCCTGGCCTCAGCTTCCCAGCGTTTCTCTCACGGGCTTCTGCTCCACCACCCCCACCTCCCAATGTCTTTTTGCATTAGGGATCCTACAGGACCCCGAAGGAATGTCAAGGTGAGCCTCACCCCTTGCTCTTGGTAAAGCCAAAATAAGATTAGAACCCCGTTTCCAGTCTCCCAGCCCAGCACTGTTTACATTAAAGCGGTGGGTGTTCCCAGGAACCCTGGCTCAGGAGCTACAGTCTAAAAGACGGTTTCATTTTTAAATGGGTTTGTCAAGGTGCTATCTCTCGCCCACTTGAAGATTCACGATGCTCATTAGCATATCAAAGGCTCTGAGAAGTCCCGCTATAAAAGAAGCCCAGGTAATTTAGTTTACAGTGTTAACTGCCTGTGGACCTGGAGCAATTAGATTTTGCCACCTAAGACTTCCAAGCATCCCTGTGCTGTCTTGGCTGTCATTCATTCCCACCGTTTCCAGCCCATTGGCTCTGGTGTGATTGAAGATCTGGGGTGCACCTTCTCCTTCCCAGAGTATTTCTCTAGCAGAGGGAGGGCTTGCCTCAATGGGGGAGAAGATCGCTGTGCCTGCTAGGCACATGAGAGACCTGGGAATTGGCGGATCTAAACATTCCTCTACATTGTTTGGAAAATGAAGTCAAGGTTATCCAGATGGTGTCCCTGTCAAAAAGAACATTGCCTATAAAAGATGCTGGCATGGACCGTGAGCCGCTGGCAGGAGTGGGACTCACTCACCGAAGAGAGGAGAAAGCTCCGAAGTTGGGGTGAACAGCTGGCCCAGCCTCCATAAGGTAAGGTGCTTGCTGAATTTCAGGAGGGGTCATAGGCCTTTGAATAAAAAATACAGAGCCCCCTTTGCCAAAAGGTGAGGGGTTTTTATTCAGGGAGCAAGTTGGAGGGGCGACCACCACAATGCCCAAAGACTTGTACCAGTTCAGCCATTTTGCCACATCCCGCAAAGGTCTGCTCTTGGAAAAAGCTCAGCCCTGTCTGGATTAGAAACTAGAACAGGGGAGACCCGAATGTATTTTGGGGGGTGTGTTTTTGAAGCTTAGGTAGAGAGGGTGAGGCTCTTCTGTTGTAGCTGTAAAGATCGGGGAGGGGCGTGTTTCATGCGGAACATGAAAGCATTTATGTGGGCACTGCTTAAAGCGCTTAGATGTATTTCTTTCATTCTTTTGGCCCTGTTGTGGCGAGCTGTGTTCTCGTTCTCCTCTTCCCTAGGAGGCAGATGAGTCCACCTTGTCCAGAGTCTCCCAGCCACTGTGATGGGTGGAGCTAGGAGCTGGACTCTGGCGATTTGGCCTCCTCAGGACAGGGCTGTACTCTCTAGAGAAGGGGGTCAATACACATTCGAGACTGTTCATGTGGCTACTTCAAAAAAAAAATCGTGGTAAAATATACACGTAGCATGAAATTGACCATTCGACCATTTCAAAGTGTATGCTTTGGTGTCCTTATGTAGGTTCCCAGATGGTTGTGCAACTATCACCGCCATCCACCTCCAGAACGTTTTTCACCTTGCAAGACCGAAACTCTGTCCCATTCAAATTGTGGCTGTTTTGTTGTTACTGTTGTTTTCTTTCCTTCGGGAACTCCTAGAACACTGAGCCCTTTGCGGTCTCATTTAGGCTGGAGTGTTGCTGCCTTCCTCCGGGTGGCGCACCCATTCTTTCAGCCCCCACCACTGGTGCTGGCCAGAGCCTGGGGCTGGCCTTTCCTGGGATACTTACTTGGAGGTACCTTGGCTGGCCATGACTTTGGTTCTTCTTTTGCAGGTTTCCATGTTTCTGAGGCCATGGAAATTCCCGTAGTGGTCATGCCGACCTCTCCCAGGGCTCGCTTCCCTGGCAGGGGGCACCATTCTGGGCTGGGCCAGCAGAGGGCTGCAGAGTGGCCAGCAGAGGGGAGAGTGGATGACCTCTGCCCAGCAGCTTCCCTTCAACATTGTCCAAAGGAAGATCCAAGACACGTGAAGATTCATTTTGCCTTAACACAAGAGAAATTCCGATTCTCCTTGTGCTGTGACTTGGTTCCAAGATTCCAGACACCTGGAACTGAGCCGTGCACCTCCGTGCCCGAAACAATGGGTTTAAGCTCCAGCTTTTGTTCCTTTTCTCTTTTTCCAGATCACTGTTGAAGTTGCATCCTCAGCTCAGAATCAGCGCCTTGAGGATCTCTTCCTAGCCCCCCGGCTCATGGTGCTCCGTCTGTGGTCGGGTGACCTTACTCAGGAGCAGATGTCTCCTTCGCCTTCACGGTATCTTATCCAACCAGATGTGCCTGAAACATTCCAGAGCTCACTGGCTCTTCTAGATGTGCCTTCCTGCTTGGCTTCCAGCTGCTTCTCCAGATGCGAGAAGGATGTGTAAAACAGCCCCCACACCCACCCCCTCCTCCCGCTGAGACCCTGTACCATAGGAATGGCCACCTGACCTGGCCCAGAATTTTTGAATACTGGAGGCAGCCTCTTTGGCATCCCTCATTCGACTCTAGGACTCAGTCCAGCTTGAGACCACTGTGGACTCCTATCAGTCCAAAAGTCTGGGACTACTTGCGGATCCAAGAGAGGAATTTTCTAGTATTCTACGAAGGCCAAAAGAGAGGGTGGGAGTGGGAGGGGTGTGGGCCAGTAGCAAGGGGGACCAATGTGCCTCATTTAATAGTTTAGTGGTGATTACTAATTTGCTTTTCAGAATAAAGTTTGGTTTGTGTGATGTTGGTGTATAGGTCTTCTCTCTCCTGCAGTAAGCCTGTGTACTGGTTCTCCCAGCCTCTATCCATCCTCTTCTTCTTTCCTTCTGGGAGGGGAAGAAAAATGAGTTCACAGGTTTTCAGTGCATTAAGGCAGGACACAGGAAGCAGAGGAAAGAAAACCGCCTGTGTCTGCTCCTAACAAAAGCTGGTGGGAACTCAAGAGGCCCTAGCCCAGCTCTCAATGACCCCTCTGTTTTTGGAAGCTCCATTCCCTAACGGGCAGGCACAGAATGACTATGGTTAAGGAGCAGTCCCCTGACTCCCTGATTTTGCAGAAAGGGAAATGAGCCACAGGGAGGAATGGTGCCTTGCCTAGTGTCACAGAGCTGAGAGGGGACTGAGTGAGGTCTTTTGGGGCTCAGGTTCTGATACGGACTATAGTCCTGCTCTGGTGTTGCCTCCCAGACACACCCCACCTGGTTTCCCCCGATTCCAGTCACAGCCTGATGAATAAGGTGCTTTGGAAAGGGTAGGAAAGTAGAGTGAGCAGGCTTCCTTGCCAGCTTCTCCCTCCTGTGCCTGAAACTCAAGTCTGCAGCATTGAGAACATAGGATTCTAGGGGCAGATCTCAGAACTCACTTAGAACAGCTCTAGGCAGAGATCGGATGCTGGGTGTGTTCCACACCCACTTTCTTCCAAAGCACCCTCCTCGGCACAATAAACATACACACACACACACTCACTCTGTCTTCTTCATGGTTTGGATTTCCAGGGTGGAAAAAAAATGCCAAGGACCCTCCCTTATTCCCCTCTTCCCTGTCTGTCTATTCATGAATTTTGCATGAAATAAAATGTGGCCTCCCTTTATGCAAAGGCTGGTAAGCCCCCTGCTCTACTGTAGCTTTGTGGAGAATTGCGCAATGGAAAATATGCTTCTACTTCATGATCTTTTTTGATCCGGTTAACAGTCTCAGTGGTTGGCATTGTGACAATGTCCCCCATTTAATAGGGGAAATAGAGCCTCAGAGAGAAGGGCCTTGTCCATGGTTACACAGCTGGCTAGTGGCAGGACTGGGACTGGAAGGCAGAGGGTCTTTCACTACCCTTGCCAGCTGGTAAATCCTTGTGGTCCTCCGGCAGGCTCTGAGGTTTCGATGGAGTTTGGTTTTCATTCCTGCAGATCAGGTGTTCAGGACTGGTCTAATCTGACATTTCCTGTTTAATGCTGGGGGCACTTTGAAATAAGATACGGCTCTTCAGGGACATAATTGAGTCTGGGGAATCTGAGGGATTTGCTCATTTATGTCTACTGTTTTTCCTGCTTTTCTAAGGATTGGGGTGGGGGGGGCAGTGGTAAGAAAGGAAAGCTAATAAACCCACATTTGCAGGGATAAAAGGAAAGAGGGATGTGAGAGAGAAAGGTCTGGTTAGCATTATTCATTCATGTTTGTATTGTTTTGTTTGTTACAGTAGTTATTTGTTAAAATACCAACATATATATCCATTAAAATATAATAGCAATATATACCCATTAAAAAATTAAACTGTACAAAAGGGTACAAACTAAAAAGAAGCCATTCAAACATCCTAATCTCAAATGCTAGATATAAACCATTGCTAACTACCAACTCTCTTTTTTTTTCAAGGGATTTATTTATTCATTTGAGAGAGAGAGAGCATGAGCTGGGGTAGGGGGAGAAGCAGAGGGAGAAGCAGACTCCCCGCTGAGCAGGGAACCAGATCCCAGGATTCGATCCCAGGACCTGGAGATCATGACCTGAACTGAAGGCAGAGGCTTAACCATCAGAGCCACCCAGGTGCCTCTTAACACTTATTTAATTATTATAATGAACCAAACGTACATGGGATACGTGTGTGCGCGTGCACAGACTCAGACACACGTATACATTTGACTCTCTTACAACTTCCTTTTAACGATTAATGATAATATAGTTCTAAGCCTTTCTAAATGTCCATGTATGTAGCCAGGGACTGTAAGAACTTTGTGTACTTTCTGGAATGTTTATAACTTTCCCACATTGGTTAACTTTGTCACTCCCTTGGCTGCTTCTTGTGGAAATCTTAGTAAAACCCTTAAGAGGGGGTGGGTTCTTTTTGACAGATGAGTAAATAGAGGCTTAGGAGGGGAAGTGAAGTGACTCTCCAGGTCTGTGCCAAGAGTAGCAGGGAGCAGAGGGAGCACTGGCATGGCTGAATTCCACTTCACCAGTCTTGGGGGAGAGGAACGTGCCACGGACCAGTGGGAGCAGCTGAAAAGAAGTGAGGAGGGCCTAAGGCTCTCTGGGCCCTTAGGCAAAGGGGAGGTATGCTGAGGTGGCCAGAACCCAAAGGAGAGCTCCTGACATAGCCAGCAGGAAGGTGTGGACCACCCACAGCAACTTCGCCTGTGGAAATTCCAGTCAGGCTCCTAATCAGAAAGCCCTTTTGCCCTCCCTGTTCCATGACCCCATTCCTTTCAAACCGGATGGCTATTTGGGATCTTGCTGGCACCAGGGCTGTGACATTCTTTCCTCAGCACTGAGGTGAAGGCAAGCTCCCAGAGGCAGTTCTTGGCAGGTTCCTCTTTATCCCGCAGGTGCACCGCAGGCTCTCCTTGCTGCCATCTCCAGGAGTCCTGAAGGGGGCGCTCCGACGCCCTAGTTGTAAAGCTTCTGAGTCAAGGTTGGCAAGAGGGAACTAACTCACTCTATGAAGTGTGTGCAATGAGTCAAGCACAAGTCGGAGGATACCTTATATAACATCGCTTGTCATCCTCACAAGCCCAAGGAGTATTTAATTCCCCCATTTGATGGACTCGCAGACAGGCTCAGAAGGGTCAACTGATTTCCCCAGGCCACTCACGAGACAGAAACCAGATTTAAAACTCAAGTGTGTGCCACCATGCCTTGCTGTTTCAGAGGACTTCCCAGCAGACAGACTGTTTCTCCCAGCCATCCAAAGACCCCACCGAGAGCTTCTGGGTTTTCTAATAGCTATGTTTTGAGCTAAGGCAGGGAGGAAAGACTGTAAAGAAAGTGGTATCATTCAAGTCTGAATAATGTCAGTTACTCCTTTCTCGGTTGACAGGGAAGTTAGGTTTAACCAGCTCACTGTGCTGAAGCCACTCTCCTGGTTCCTGGAGACCGCCTCTCTGTCTGCCTGATGTAGGAAGGACTCAGAGTGTCCCTCCACTCAGCCCTCCCTCCTCCTGAGACCTTGTGCCACAGGTATGGCCACATGACCTAATCCCAGACTTGGATATGGAACTCTGTGCCTTATGAAGTCTTGTTCTGTACTCTGTGCTGGCTCCTTCTGTGTCCCCTAGGGGTTAATATGACAGGCTCTAATTCTGAGGTGAGCTCAGCCTGTGACGTCAGAAGTGAGGCCAATTTCTCCCTAGTTGTCTGTTCTTAGGCAATTTGCTAAGCTCTTCATCTGTTTCATCGCTCCCTAAATGGGGTTTATACGTGTAGCTGCCTCCCAGGTCCGTGGGAAGGGCTTAGCGAGACGAGGCACCCAGAGCTGTGAACCCAGCAACTAGTCTCTGCAGGTCAGCTCTCAGCTGGTTAGTGTTGTTGGGAGGACCTTGGGTGATGCTTGTCAAGTGCAGACCTGAGCCACAGTATGTGCTCAGAAATCTTACTTCCCTTCTCCCCAATTCCACCCTGGCTGTCTTCCTGCCTGAGAAATGAGAAATTGACTCCTCTACTGTTCTTTCTTGTGGTCCGATTTGAGCTGTCCTGAAAGATAGCACAGAACTGTTAAAAATCACTGTCATCTATGTGAAGGTCAGGATCCTCTTTTCTTCAGACTCCAAGGTCCTTCTTTGCCTTCCTTCTGACTCCCTGGATCCCGCTCTGTGGTCCAGGGTCCAGGACCTAGCAGTAGGTCCTGGTCCTGGTCCAGGTCCCTAGCAGTACTCCTGTCTGCCTCCTCTCAGCCTGGAAGGAGGATGCCCTCTTCTAATCTTGTTTCTTGAGGGTCCAGGCCATCTACAGAGAGATGAACTGACCATGGATTCTCGGGTGTCGGGAGTGAGATGTTCACAGACTCCCCTCATTATGTGTTTGCAGGCCCCTCCATGACTGCACTCAAATCAAAATTTGTCCGGGCACCAGAGCGGGGGTGGGCTGGGTGGGCGGTGTTTCTAAGTGCTTGGCTTCCCTCGCTGTTTTGTATCTGGGCATTTCACAACACATCTTTCCTCACTTCCCTGGTAAACTGTAAACTCTGTTGTATTTATCAGCTTGTCATCTTGTCCTCCCAGCCATCCCTAGGAACTGGTGAACTTGCAGGGTTTGTTTTTTAAGTTAAAATGATGAACTACCAGGGTGCCTGGCTGGCTCAGTCGGTAGAGCATGTGACTCTTGATCTTGGGGTTCTGAGTTCGAGCTCCATGTTGGGTGTAGAGATCACTTAAAAATAAAAATCTTATCAAAAAATGAATTACTGGGATGTGTGGGTGGCTCAGTTGGTTGAGCAACTGCCTTTGGCTCAGGTCATGATCCTGGAGTCCCAGGATCAAGTCCCACATTGGGCTTCCTGCTCTCCTTTCATGCTCTCTCTCTCTCTCTCTCTCAAATAAATGAATAAAATCTTTAAAAAAAAAATGAGTTACCTCTGTGATTTTTTTTAACCTTAGTGATCTTAACATAGGTGCCAGAAGGTGGATGGAGGCTTTTTGCAGTGATCATGATGGTGATGACAATAAGATTATTGTTGATAATGGCATTAACAGTAATAAAGATTACTCAATGTCCCTGTATTCTTGTATTCACAATTTGCAAAATATTTTTACGTCTATTTCATCCCATCCTTATATGAACTGGTAAACAGTTCAGATAATACCTGCATTTTGTAGATGATGCTCAGAAGAGGGAAGTGTTTACCTTGGTGTTTTGTTTGTTTGTTTTTAGAGAGAGAGAGTGCATGCACTCACGAGGCGGGGGAGAAGGGCAGAGAGAGAATCTTAAGCAGGCTCATTGCCCAGTGTGGAGCCCGATGTGGGGCTCCACCTCA